GGCGATACAAAAAATAGTCAGAGAATTCCAACAGATTATAATGGTGATGAGTGTCCTAATTAGGTTAGGAGTTAATCTTTCGTTTTGCCTACATATAATATATATGGTTCTTTAATTAATCAAACTATTTCGAATTGAATAGCCAAAATAAACAGATTCTGAGATACATACGATACGGAGCTTAAGCATTGGTCGATTCGACCTCCTAATTTATTTAATTAGACCAAATATAATGGGTGAAGGTAGTGAGCAAACAAGTTCCTTTAGCAGAGTATCAGTTAGCAGAGTATCAGCAGCCCTAAGGGAATGTCGTTTTCCCCTCGATCCCGACGATGATGATCAGGCGGGCCATCCTCGGCTGCTCGTATCTCATGGCTTAAACCTGAAAAACCACGCACTCTACGACATATCCAAAAACCAACACGTGGACTTAGACATACCCGAGCTAATCTCGAAGCTAGTGTTCTTCACCTCGTACAGTAATTGGCTGGTCTTGATCGACTTATACAACGATCTACGGCACCCCATCCACGATTGCGGTTGTTGTCTCCTTAACATAACATCCGGCCAAAGGATTCGTATCCCGCACAAGTGGATAAAAAACTACGGCATCGAGTGCGTCCTGTGCGGGCCCCCGACCGAGCCCGACTGCCACCTCATCATCCGTAATAATAACAACCTTTATTACTGCCGCTTAGGCGATGACTCCTTCATTGACATTGAGGCAGAGAGGTACAATAACAAAACCGTGTCGACGGCTGCTAGTTTTGGCAGGAAAACCTATTTGTTGATGGAAAATAGTTTGTTCGAGTTAGTGTTTCACGGCGACCGGAAGCCGAGCGTGGAATGTGGGGAGGAGCTCGAGTTTGTTCCGGTGGTGCGTGTGGCGGCGGAGGAGCTCTGCACTTGGCCGGTGAAGCCGAGCGCCACCAAGGACTTCATAGTCAAGTCGGTGGAATGTGGGGAGATACTTGTGGTTCGGGCGCTCGTGCAGAGGTACACGGACTTGTTTGAAAACGTGGCATATTTCAGGGTTTTCCGCATAATTATGGGGAAAGGGAATAAGGAGTGTGTGGAGGAGCTAAAGAGCATAGGGGACCGTGCCCTTTTCTTGGGGAAGAACGGGAGCACGACGTGTCGTGCAGACATGTCATCGGGGGTTAAAAGGAACTCGATATATTATTATTGGGATGAATGGGATTTGTATGTGTATGATTTAGAGGACCGGAGCACGACACTTCTCAGGCCGTGTCCGGTTAAGGGTCCTCTATTCTTTTTGTGTTGGGTGTGATATATCAATGCTTCAGAGTTAGGAACTGTTGTATTGGGATGCAATGTTGTTTCTTGTTTTGTTTTCGAATTTATGGAGTTGTAGGATTATAAGTTTCTGTGTTCTGCTTTGATTTTTCAAAGCTTTTATCTTGAACTCTTTTTACACTGCTAGATTAGATTGTGTCCCAAGTCATGTGTTCTTGGATACTTTAATTAGCATGAGGATACTTACCCAATATTGGAGAACTAAAATTCGAACCGACTTTGAAAGTTTTGTTCTTTTGGCAAACAAGAAAGGACTATCGGTTTGAGAATCAGTTTATCCAAAAATTACTGTTTCATAAAATGGGTCTGATTTTTCAGTTGGAATGGCCTTATGTTTTCCGTTATTCTTCTTCTTTTTTTTTTTTTCAAGAAATCGCAACATTCTTGAAACAGTACATACAGATTCTTATTATTCTTCTTTTTTTTTTTCTTTTGTCAAGAAATCGCCAATAGGACAGTTGCATTTTTATTTTCTT